TTTTTGTGTGGCCCACCAAGCCCACCAATCTTCTATCTAATTAAATATATGATTCCGTACCAGGACCTTCCAAGAGGTGTATGTAAATAGCCTCTTAGAGGTGAGTTGAGGTGTCCAAAAACCACCGGGCTTGGAGGGTCCTGGTAATCAGTATCTTTTTTAGGGTGCTGATCGATTCTTGTGACGGCTCGAACCGAAGAACATCCTGAAGACCTCCCAGCACCTTCAAGTCCGGGGTCACCTGGTTGGTTTCGCCCCACGACTTATCCCGGATTCTTCAGGTGGACACCCCGACGGAAGGTCCAGGTGCCCTGCCTCCTCCGCATTCCACTTGTTCCGATGGCAGGCGCGCACGGACCGATGGCCTTCAGCGATCGGCTGCGGCAGGTTCGGTTTGACGGATCGGCCGCGGCGGGAGAGCGGCCGAGCGGTCTGCGGAGCGAGCTGGATGGTACCCCAAGGAAAGGGAGCATGGATCAGAATGGACCAACGTCTCCCTACCAGCACCCTCACTGCCAGGCTGTTAGTTGAGGGTTGGGAAGGTCTCAGGTCTCAATTGGTGACCTGTAGAGTCGGGTCCTGGTATATGGTGATTAAGATCTGTTGGCATTTCATGAATTCAGATCAAGATTTGTTGGCATTTCATGATGTGAAGTCTGAATTCCGGAGGTGAATAGGGAAAGAACTACCACAAGTCGATGCCATGTCTTTTGCAGCATTGTGGCTTTTCTCCAGTGGTTTCCGGTGGAAGTTACAGACCCAAAAGGAATGAAGGATCATGACAAATTCACTGGATCAACACCCTCACATTGTTTGTCATGTCGGAGTCCTCATGGACGTGGAGTTCACCTGTTTTTATTCGGAGCATGGTCATCCTTTCCGGACAAATCTTGCATGCCATCGAGATGTCCACCTTCCCGGGAAAAAAAACACTTCGGAGTTCGTTGTTCTTCCTTTGACTCCGAGTCGGTGTTTTTTTCCGTCGTCTAAAAAAACAGGCCGTGGACGACTATGTGGCTGCAGATGTGGTGACCGATGAGCTCCGTGAGGTGCGGTCTCAGCGTCCGCAGTGAGGAGCACTGGACCGGTGGGTGAGAGTGGAAGAGACTGGAAGCAGTGGTTCCTCTCAACCACGAATGATGTACTAATGTCGACTGTTGATTCGCTTTCGACCCTTCATAGATGTCATAGAGTCAGAGAGGTTTTACCATCCCCATGAGGGGTATTGTTATAATCAAGATTCTACATGATGTTCAGAAGTTCCAAGTTCAGAGCAGTCACTCTTCCAGGTCCCTCCATTCATGCCACCGAGAACGTTTGGATTGAAGATGATTGAAGGATTCTGAGCTGTTGTGAGGAATGTACCTTTGCCTACTCATGGAAGGCTTTCCTCAAAGTCCAACCTCGAACAACAATGTGTTTTCCTCATGCAGGCCACCTTGCAGAAGGTGCTGACGGCATTGAATGCCAAAGAGATCGAGCTTTTGGACATCGTGGTTCATTTGGAGAAGGTGGGGCCCTGCGGCGAATCGGGGCGCTTTCATATCCCAGACACTCCACTGTATGGCATATATACCAATCACTTGGGGTGGTTTGAAGGGTCAATGTAGGCATATATGGCATACATGGAGTGTCTGGGTATTGCAATTTCATTCTCCCGCTCAAAACTTACACTCCCCGGAAACTAACATTATAGACCCTGAGAAGTACCCTGAGGTGCAGCGGCGGCAACGCTCCGCTTGGCTCGCCGCTGCGGCGGCAACGCTCCGCATGTGCGTAAGAGTTAGACCCTGAGCAGGATGGACCCCTGTAAGACATTGCAACCCTAGGGATCCAAGTACCTTCTCAGAAGGTGAGTGGAGACACTGTTATGTGGGTTTGGAGGGTCCAAGTACCTTCTGAGACGGTACTTGTACTTGTACGTGGTTGTCCGATGTTCTCAGGCTCCATGTTATAGTAGTGGTTGGAGAGGTGAGACATGGCACTGACACCCCAAGATGTCTTGTATATGATGGGGGTCCAGTTGGGGTCTATATAAACCACCCTTTGAGGATTGCGCCATCTACTCTGAAACCACTGTACTTTGCGTGAGGGTCAATTTAAAGATAACAAGATGGCAAGGTCCAAGTCTAGTGCAACAAAGGAAGATTGCGAGCTGTCAGCATTTCAGCATGCAAAAGTAGTTTGATGACTCATGACTTCACACCTTTGCACAGGTCATGTGTGATGCCAGCAACCCGACTGGCAGAAGGTGCCTTGGACAGCTTCTTGGGAGGGCCAGTACCATCAATCGGGCTGCCACAATTTGTCCAGCTCCTATACGCAGGGCGGCGGATTATAGGCGATTCATGGTTGCCCGTTCTTAATCTTGGTGTCACCCCAAAGCTACCCCATGTGAACATGGATTTCGCAACCTTTGTGTATCATTTTACTGGTTCCGCTGCATGCCCTCTTGTTTGGTTCAGTGAATTGCTGAAGGTATGCAGAGCATGGAGCTGGAACATGTAGTTGAAGACTTGTTTATACAAAGCGGTTTTTCGTGTCCCACCTGCGGGCTACTGCGTGTGTGTTAACATGCTTTAACTATAGTTTCAAGATAGATTGCACTCCCTACGGGATCTTACATAGACGCAGTTGATTGCTGGCATGTAGTTTAGCCTAGGTGTATGTAATTAGGTAATTATACCGATGACACAAGAGAAGACACTCCATTGCCGCGAATTTTCTTTTCTCGCAGGACCTGACCTGACCTCGTTCCAAGGCATGCCATCCAATTTCTGGCCTTTTGCTTGCGAGATATTGTCGAGCTCAAGCTGAACTTCAAACATGTGGCACCCCGGCCGCGAGTGACTTCGACCGATGTAACATCTCACACGGGACATCCGCTCCCCAGCCGCGGGATGTCCGCTGGAGTGAAAATACCTGAGGAAGTCTTTGCCAAATTCTTCCAGAACAAGCTCAGTGACTGGCAATGTGTGGAGGGTGCCGTCGCTGGCAGCTTGCTTAAGCAGAGACAGCCTGGTGAGGTCGGCTTTGCGGGCCGGCGGCTTTGGACAAGTTGAGAAAGGGTGAGTGTCAGCCTTTTGGTAAGCGGTGTGTATCTAAAAAAGGGAGACCACCCAATACTCCGGCCAACAGGCCCGTGCTTGGGAATGGTGGCGCCACGTGCCCCGAATCGAAGCAACCCGCTGAAAACACCAGGAAGAACAGAGTGCCCTAAGCTCCAGGACATGCGGAGCTAATTTGTGGACTACACCAAATACTGCCCCGATCCATTTTCAACTCTATTTGGCTTCGGAACGTGCCGGAATTGCAAAAGCACATCTTCCAACCGCCGCTCGCAAGACATTCCCCAAGGCATCTTGGTGCTCTTCCAGCGACAGGCGGCGCTGATCCGAACGCTGAAAGTCGACACCGAGGAGGGCGAGGGCGAGCAGCTTGGAGCAGAAGGGTCCCATGAGCTTTCTGGGGCAAGCGGCAAGCGCTCAATCCAATTCAACAGCTCAGTGACCTCCATTGAGAGCCCCCCCCCCGGGCCCCCACCCTTTTGTTTCGAGCCCACCCTCCTCCAGTGGAGACGTACGCAGGACGCGCCTGGCACGGCACGGGGCCCATCAGGTCGGTGGTTTAGTAGTGGACCCCCCCCATTCGTCGACACACGTGGGACATAGGGGTGCCAGGACCTCACCTCTGAGCCCTTTGAAACCAGTGGCATGTCTTCATTTTGCCACGGGTTCTGAAACCAAAGTGGATGCTGAGCTAAAAGGGCTAGCTTCCAGTCAAAGCACCAATATATTGGAGGGTTCCAATGCCAATCCATACAAAAGACACACCCTCCTCCCCTTATCATCAATGCGCATGAGGCCCATGGCATTGCACTTGGCTCGGACGATGCTCAAGGAGGTGTCGGGGGGGGTTCCATTCGGGCACGGGCGCGAAGCTGAGTTTGGCATCGGAGGGTCAGAACGAGTTCGAGAAGCTGGGACTGTGCTGGTGTTGGTATGGGAGGTTGAAGTTATTGACACACAAACGTGGTGCGACTTGTTTTCGCTTGGGCTGAGTCACTTGGTGGAGCTTCCACCCTTATTCGACCCACAAAAGCAGTTGCCGTTGGACCCTGGCCACGCGACCACTGTCGCTTTGACCAGTCAATGTGCCTTCCAGAGCGGCAGGTCAATGTGCCTTCCCACACGCAGGTGCCGGCCGATTCAGTGGTTGAGCGTTGGATGATTTTAGAGGTTCATGGTGGTTCCAAATGCCCAAAGGCCCGCCAGCTGGCCCTACGGCAGGGGTTTTTGGGTCAGACATGCTGAGACACTTGCATTTCAGTGGTCAGTAGAAGAAACCCCGGAAGCCCCAGCAAAAAAGTAGAAGATTCTGGCAGTTGGTCTGAGTCTTACTTAGCTTATACTTCCAGAGGGAACATTTACCCTGACCGCTTCGTTTGTTGAATTCCCCCATGCTGAACTCATTTTCAGATGGTGAGGCCGAAGCTCGGCCATAGTAGCGACGGAAGGTTTTAGTTTGGGTTTGTCTTATGACCTGTAACAGTCAACAATGAACTATATCATACTAAATCGATGGACGCTCCCTTAAATAATTATTCCATGGTCCGGGTAACCCCCAGGAATAATTTTCCAGGAATAATTTAAAAAAAATTGACCTGGAATAATTTATTTTTGAGCAAGGATGAGAAAGGCCCCCAACTGAACCTAACTGAACCATCAGAATCCACTGAAGCCTGATAATGGGCTAAACCCAAGTTTTGGCAGTGTTGGTGGCAGTGGTGGGTGCCGTGAATCAGGGAATCCTGGTCCCAAGCAGCCTAACGAACTCGCAGGCTCAGGTCATCAGCACGATGTGCAAGATGGATGGTATGATATCAGTAATGTTGGGCCGGAGACCACAAGTTTATCTTTCAAACCACACCTCAGCCCCAGACCTTGATCGTCATAAGTATTGTTCGGAATGATCTTTGGACGCTTGCAACTTTATTTCTGAGCCATTTTGGCTGAAGCTTCACAGAAAGCCACGTGTATAGCTTTGCACATTCGTCGTCACAATGGCAGAGGGGCCGCCCTCCAGCTTAAATGACTTCTTCAAGAAGGACAAGAAGAAGAAGATCAAGGGCTCAAACCTGAACAACTCCATGAATGAGCCTTGTTGAGCAGAAAGAAGACCAGGTACTCCGCCAGCACCATCCAGTCTACTCCACGCTTGTAGCTTGAACTCGATCACCCGAGCTTAGTATATGTGGCGACCCCGCGTAGCAAAGCAGTCAGCTGTCAGAAAAGTGCATAGCCTTCAGCCGCTGAACTCAGAAACCCCTCCGCAGTCCGGTCTGACTGAGGACAAGCCTGCCGAAGAGAAGAAGGAAACCAAGAAAACGAAGGCTGACGAGGATGATGGTTGCCTGGAAGAACTACTGGTGCTTTTGATCCCCAAGGACATCCCTAATCACGAAAGGTAGCGGTTACGCTACCTGAGTTTTCCTTTTGCTTTAGCAAAAATGTATTAACCCAGAGCTGCAGCCCATCTCTCGGAGAAATGGTCCCCGACATCTTCGTTTGCTGGCCGGGGGGGGGCCCCCCCCCCCCCTTTCAACTCCACCCTAGCGCGCCTCGGGGTCAACCGTTCGATAACACTGTAAATATCAGTGTTTTCAGCTCTTCCTGTCCTCAGCAGTGACCAAAAATCATGGAATTTACAGCGTTTTTTGTGGCTGTCCGGCAAAAAACACCGCAAAAACCGATGGTTTTTGATGCGTCTCGGTTAGAAAAATGACCGAAAAAAGACCAAAAACCAGGAAAGATTTTGTCAGAAAGGGTTTTTGAGGCTTTTGGAGGCTTCAAAAATGCACAAAACTATGGTATTTACAGGGTTTTGTGCACCTTCCCGGCAGAAAACGCCGGTATTTACACTGTTTTCTGCGCTTTTCCAGCGCTCAACCGTGGTGCGCCTTTGGATCGACGGCTACAAAATACCGTAAATACCAGTGTTTTCAGCTCCTCCTGTCTTCAAGCGTGGCCTTAGACCTTGCCGCGGCTGTGGATCGACGGCAACGAAACCTCGTAAATACCAGTGTTTTTGAGCACGTCCTGTTTGCAAGCATGGCCTGCGGCCACGCAATTTACAGGGTCGCCGCACGTCACTATGTAAATCCGAAGTTGCACTTGAGAAATATGTGACTCCTTTTGAAGGCACGTCAACCTGTATTGAAGCCGCTAGACCGCTACAGCTTCTGGAGGTTTTGTCAAGCGTTTGTGCATTAGTTTTTCTTTCATCACGCTCACTCACTTCTCTTCAAACAAGTGGGGGGCCTCTCACCTCCTCCCGGATTACGCCTGATTCCCTGCTACCTTTCGTTCACCCCCCTCCTCTCTCAAGTTAGTGGGGAAGATCATCCAAGTGCGGTTTTTGGAAGCACATAGAAGCACACAAGTCCCGTTCCCAGGTGATCCTGGCAACATATCGCCAAACAAATGCCTTCCAGAGTGGGTGAGGAGGTGGTTTAAATCCAAGGCTGGCACGAAGAGGAAGTCGTGCAAGCGACCATGAAGGTGGAATCCGCAGGCCGGACACTGGGACACCGGCGAAGGGTTTCTTGCTATTTGCTATAGGTCTTGACTGCTAGGTGTGCATTTTCCTTGGTACAAGTCTTGAAGGTCTGACGAAGGGGTGGAAGGCATGTGTCTTATGGGACCAACATATGAGGACGACTAAGGCCTAGGGATGGTCCGACCAGCTGGGCGATGCTAGAGTCCCGAACCGTTGGACTTTGAGACATCCAACATGTGTTGAGACCGTATGAGACCGTGACACTCCAGACTGGCACAGACTTGCATACATTGGGATGGGGTCAACCTGGGGTGAAGATGATTAGTATATATTAGTGTATGATATGCCAGTTTTATGGAGTGTTTGGATGATGGAGTTGAACAACTTTAATGGTTTTCCGCTTTCATGTTTGTTTCTTGAAGCGCAACCCGTTCACCTTCCCATCCCCTTTAACTGGAAAGCCTAGCGAGAATTGTTGATTATACCCCGCTTTTTGTGCCGTTTAGTGTGCCCCAAAGCGCGGTATGACGGTACGACACCAATCCTAAAAAACGCATTGAAACATCACACATTTCCCTTATGCTTGCCTTATGCTTGCCTTATGCTTGCTTTCGTTGATAGATGCTGGTGAATCCGGGCACCTCGCATTCGCTGAAATGAAATGAAATGAACATGCTTATATGCTTGCTTAGCATTCATGTTGCCAGCAAAGAAACGGTAGAGTTCCCAAGACAAGCACGGGAGGCTTGAGCTGTCGCATAGTGTCGACAGGTAAGTTGGTGAGGGAGGAGGAGCAGGACAAGGTGGAGGAAGCCTCATCGAAAGCATGGGGCGTGATCAAGAACAAGGACTGAAAGGGAGGCTAAAATCGGGGCTGGAAGGATTTTGGGGGGGGTTCGTTCCCTACCAGTGTTCCCTGGATTTTGGTACCACCAGGCTCACCCTTTGCCAGAAAACCATCCAGGAGGCTACCAGACCTCAGTCATCCAGCCCTCGACCCCTTTGGCGATCGGGACGACGGACTCCGGACGGACACCACACAGTGGAGCTTCCGTCCCCATGGATTCCAGTCGTACCCCGTAGGGCTCGAATGCCAGGAGGGGTGGCAGTCGTACCGAACTTGAGGAGGTACGACTGGATCCCTGCAGGGACGTGTTTTTGTGGTGTTTTCCTCTTCAGGTTTAACGGCTAGACGCCTTAAGCCTAGAAAGTGGCTGCTGCTGGACGAAACCACACGGAAATGGCGAGGACCAGTGTTTTGCCAGTGGACACTGTATTTGACAGACCCCAGGGACCCAAGTATCTCCTCAAAAGGTATTTGGACTCTCCAAACCCATCCCAGTCCCACCTTCTCAGAGGGTACTTGGATCCTTAGGGAGAGGTTTTGTTGGATCTTTTTTGTTCTCCCAAGTGGGTGTGCTTTTGCAAAATACGATGTTTGTGTGCACCCATTTTCATGGACGATGTTTTTTTGCGTTGATTTGCCTTCCATACATCCAAGTCACGAAGCCTAGTTTGCGCCACTTGTGCACCAACGCAGACTTTTTAGTACGGGGATTATGTGAAATTAAAGGGACGATTGTGAGATAGTTTCAGATAGTTGCGTTCTGCTTTTAAAGGTTGTGGAGCCTTTGCGTCCAAAGTTTGAACAATATAGGAATTTACATGTTTGTTTCCAATAATGCAAAGCCTCAGTTGTTAACTTGGCATCGGACATCGCCGCCGCCATTCAAATCGAGGCTTTTGTAATCATGTTGGAAGTTCAGGCATGATACAGTTTCCATAGGCTTACTTGGTGGTTGGCTTTTGCTTGTGGATCTTTTAACTTGTTATGACATGTGTTACCTAGTTACAAGCCGGCTAAAGCAACACATCACAACAACAGCAACAAAGCTATATAACTATATAACTAAATTGTTTGTTTGATGGACTTGTGGTAACCGTGGTACTTGTAAGTTCTTTAGTGTTGCTGTGTGCATTCTGACTTAAGTTTGTTGTTCTATGTTTCAATCAAACAAACTTTTGAAAGTACCTCAAAGAAGTTAACCTTGCAGATATTTGCAGATATGTTAAACTATGTAATCAGTTGTAGACTTTTTGGAACATTAGTGTTGCCATAAGGCTTACGCAAAGAACCGGTTTGTTGACAGAAGGCGCAGACCCTCGCAGTTCCAAGAAAAGACAGAAATGCAAGAGCAGAACGCCAATCCAGGTTGTTTGGTTTACCCAGAGTAGTGAATTACAATGTTTGGGCCGCTTTGTTAAAACCTGCTAAGATTCTTACGGATTGGACTGACCAGGTTGGACGTTTGTGACGTTTGGCAGTTGAAAAAGAACAACACACTATAGGCTTTATGGTCGTTGCTAGTAGCTTCTTGTTACTAGTAATGCCAGGAGCTACCCTTTGTTACTAGTTGGAATCATGCCGCAACATGAAGCCTCCACGACCTGAAGCCTACAGGTTCACCATGTTCGTGGATGTCCCACGAGGTGAATCTCCGAGACTCACATGAGACGAGAAAGGATTGAACATGGATGAACATCGGGGCCATGTACTGCAAAAGCTCTTGACTTGAAGAGAAGCAGAAGCAAGTATATACCCTGAAGTGACATCTTGTTGGCGTCTCGCAACCAAAATCACCACTTGGCCCCACCCCACATCAGCAGCACTAGTCACTAGGAAGCACCCAGGGCCCTCGGATATTATCCTCTTCTCATGTTTGACCCATGGCTGTGCCGGTTGCCCAGGAGCAGACCAACCCCAAGGATGAAAGGAAATATCCGTCCCTGGCGAAGTCAGTAGCTTGGCCATGTTGTGGGGACCCAAAGGCTCGGGGACCTCTTAAGGTTATCAATTCATAGAAACCACCTCTCAGTGAAAGTAGAAATCCACAAAAATGACATCCATTTGGGGTAATAGGCATTTGGCGCAGGGGTCACAAGTGCCTTAGTTTGCCGTCCCCAAGCTCTCTCCACCTGAATGGGGTTTGAAAACCATCCCTGGGCCCTTGGGACTCCCTGGGCTCATGGTGTTCCTAGGGGTCGTGCATCAGATTGCGACAAAGTAACATCAATATCTTCAGGGAATCCTTCGATGGTGCAAAGACCCGGGAAGATTGAACCAATGGAACCTGGTGGAATGGACCAGACTGGAAGACTGGCATCCTCCACTAAACCAGTTGTTTTTCAGGTTTCATGTTATAGTCTTCCAAGGCGTACGTGACGGTTGTTTTGTTGCATGCATGGTCTGGGCTGCCTCTGACGTGAGGTGGCTTCATCGGCGATCCACCTCGAAGACAAGAGTGGGCAGGTGAACATTGCAACCTCGAAGAATATCTTCGCCTCCCTTGAGAACGAGGTGAACCACCTTGGTCGACCGTGGCACATGCGTTGCGTTAAGGGGCAGTTTCGTTGCCGAACTTCTGCGCAGTGGTTCAGGGGTGTCACCAGGGGTGTGCAGTTTGCAGCTACACCCTACGCTGCAAGCAGTGGCAAAGCTTTTATAGCACTTTCACGCATTTTCTTGCGTGTTGTTCAACTGAGACCGAGACCATGGACTCAGCTGTTGACAAAGGGGAGACGCTGAATCAATTGGTAAGCCCCCACACAGAAGACACATTGACTAGTGCTCAGCTTCCAGCACATGTGAGGAACCCTCCAGCTGACATCCTCTTGGAGGGTGGGCAGTGGGCAGGTACAAAGATTTTGAGGCACTCCCAGGCCAGGCCATTGTCCGGAAGATTTCAACGTAGGTTCTGGTATCAACCATTTGCCAGACCTAAACTCCCATCTCAATCGTACTCTCAGACTTCTCGCCCTAGTAAAAAACAAAAAAACACACACCCTCACTTGCCCAGACACTCCATGTATGCCATATAGGCCGCTCCATTGACCCCCCAAAACTTTGAAAAACCACCCCTGGCCGTTTCTCGGCAGTCCGGACTGGAAGTCCCATTAGTCTTGTCGTCCCGTTAGTCGTGTCTGGGTTGGGGATCTACTTGAAACAATTTGTCCTCGCCTCTCGGATCAACATTCACCAGTTCAGTTCTGTTCCACTCCGCTGTTCATGTCCCATCCGATGCTGCGGCGCCATGCCGGGCAACGAATGGGTTTAAGTGAACATCTCCAGGAAACCCATAGTTTAGGGGGGTGAAAGCCACGGAGTGCCTGTAGATTTTTCCTTAAAACCCATTCATGGAATGTGGGTGCCAAAACGATAGCAACTGCTGCTGACCACCTGCGAGATCGGTTCCGAGCTCCTACGAGCGTGTCGCGACCGAAGACAGGATGATGATGACGAAGATGGACCTAAGCGCCCAAAGGACATCAAGCCTGCGCTGGTCAGCAAGAAGAAGGGCGTGACTTGGAGACCATTTGTTGGGGGAGAAGCACGCTTCTGCGGTGGCAGAGATTTCAGCTGGTTCGGGTTTGTTTGCGAATCTTCAAGACAAAACCCATGGATTTCTGGGTTGGTTCTGAAGATTTGCTACGGCTTCCGTTCTTCCTCATTCTATTCAGGCACCCTCAAACAGTAGATAAACACTAGCAGCGTATCAAACATAGGAGCAAACAACACAATATGTTTGAATTTGTCGTTTCAATGACACTCAGGTCTCGGTTTCAAGAGCATCCGTACTCCAAGGCTACATGAATCATCCTGTATTTGATGTGACCAGACGGAGGTTCGTGCGTATATTAGCTCATTGACATATAGATTTACTGTGACTTTGGCCAGGAACGCCTCAGTTTTGGATCGTTTTGGGTGCCAAAGTCCTCACGGGTCCTTTAGAGTTGCTGGAGCTTCCGCATGCCTCCGCCGCCTGGAGGAAAGAGAGAAGGATGCCATCCAGCGGGAAGTGAGCAAGTACAAGGATCCCAAGAAGGACGACCGATCCCTCCTTCGACCCCTGGCAGGTCCTCGCCGGGCAGGTCCGCGGACAGTTTGAGTCATGCTTCAAAGGCTCCAAGTGTCAGATGGCATGATCAGTTTGATGTTTAGTTGGAGGCAGTGTGTTCGCTCTGTGTTCGACCTACTCGTACTTACTAAAAAGAGAAACAAGAGTCCAAAAGGACTTCCTTTGGCGCCAGCGGGGCCGAAGAAGAAGTGAACCGGCGGCGGTCTTGACCGACGCCGCAGCTCGCAGCTCGGCGAGTCGGTTGCCACCCAAGTCAATCCTCCAGCGTATAACTACACTCGATGTTTGGCCACTCTGTCAAGATGCTTCTAGCCTTCTAGCTTCTTTGATGTTTGCTTGACCACCTGTGCAGGTATGTGCAGTCCCCAAAGACTGGGCAAGTAGAGACAGATTGAACTAACTAGAGAGTAGTGTTGGAATGAGTTAGATAGATGGCTTGAAAACTGATAAGACACTAAAAACAGCTTCGTTGGAGTGTGGAAGTGTATTTTGGCTTGCAGTGCTGGGCTTCCATGTCGTGGATCTCCACCTGCTAGCAGTAAATAATGGATCGAATTCCAGACAAAAGCATATCGGTTCCTGCTACACCGCCTTTAGGCCCCTGTTAGAGGCCTCCCAAATCCCTAGATGGGTCACTTTACCAGGTCCTTATGGCTGACTCAGCCTAGATGAAGGGAACGCAGAGGTGGCAGAGGTGATCGAAGTGTTTCTTTTAGATGCTCCGCCGTTTCCGAACCAAGAAAGCGAGCCGTCCGCTATGCAGGAGGGCAAGGAAGAGGAGGAGGCGGAAGTCGAGGGCGATGCAGAAAAGGAGGCAAAGCCCAAAAAGAAAGAGGAGAAGAAGGCGATGCGGATGTGTTCGTTCCATTCTGTGGCCTCAAGATGGCTATAGTTGCACTTCCTACGGTCTCACACTGGAGAAAGTTGCTAATTGAATCTCTTTGTTGTTCTACAGGTTTTCTACCGCGTGCGGCGCACCTCTCATAGTAAAGGCACGATAAAACAGTCTCAAATCGGCCAAAGGAACAAAGCACACAACGCAGACTCATCCATGTACGGAATAGTTACCTACGTTGGGGTCATATCAGGGTAAATGTATGTAACTATTCCTTGGTTTGGGTATTCAACTCCCTGAAGTTCTCCAGAGTTCTCCTTCTGCGTCACAGCCATTCCCATTTTCTAAAACTCCCAGGCAGCCGCTTCGCCACATGCACCAAAATGAATTCGACCTTGTTGAATGAAATCGCACCTCAGGCGAAGTCTAGTGTCTTGAAGCCCAGCAGCAAGGCGCAGGAGGAGAATCAGGCGGATTTGCAAATCCAGCCGGACCATGCAGCCGTCAAGGCCAAGTCTCTCGGCACAGGTTGACCTGGTCTGGGGCCTGGTGGTCTCCGGTTCGTCAGGTCTGAGCCCTGGGACGAGGGCAGGCAGACTCGACAGGTCTTGAGAGGGTGATTTGATCTGTTTTGTTTGGAACACGGAAAATATACGCTATACACCTACCAAGCGGTTTCAGTGTTTGTATGTCATTACAGCTGTGCTTTTGTGCTGTTTTTTGTTACCTCAGACCTTTACATCATGCAGGCTCGACCTGGCGACATGCTCGGGTCGCCGGGGTGGTTGCTGACTAAACTCCGAAGAACATGCTCCCAGAAGGGCCCATTGATTGGGATTTGATGGGATGGATCAAGAAGAACCTGCAGGTTACCTTTTCCATGGTGATTTCTTTGGGGGGGATCTGATCGGGTGTCCACCCGTTGACTCGGAAAGTGGGACACGTTCGGTCACCACGCGTTAAGCCTCGGCTCGGGACGTGGGGATCGCAGAAGAAGAAAGAGCGCTGTAACGGCACCTGACAGGCGCATCTTCCCACGTGACCATGGGTGGACTGGACTGGTGGACGAACACAGAGCAAACCCTACTTCTTCGGCCGGAGAAGCCAGTGAGTCACAGCCACAGTTGGCAAGTCATGAGGAAGATTGAAAGGATCCGGATGGATTCCAGGTTCTTGAGTTGGTGTGACCAAGTGCTGAGAGTACGAACTGCATGTTCCGTTCAAGCACCTAGAAGCTATAGAGAGATTCTATTGGCGCAATTTGTGCAAGAAATTCTTCCAGGAGTCACATGTCGGGGTGGTGTTTAGTCCCTAAGTGAGTGGATCATCGGATAATGGGCACCCTATCCTCCACACCCCTTTGGAACTGGCTGGTTGAGATTCCTCAATGAAACCCATCCGTCACTGTTACACTTCTTGGTCCTGAGCCTTTCAGTGGCGCTCCTCGCGTGGCTCAGGTACATCGGTAGAATCAAGTTGCCACGGAAGCAATTGCCCGAATCAGAGCTGGCAGAGAAAGAGAACCGGCCAACCGGTAAGATCGTGGGCAAGAAGAAGAAGTGGGCGGATGAGGAAGAAGATGATAAGAATTTCGAGTATGTGGATGAATTGCGAGTAGAAGATGATGATGATGACTAGATTAGATCTTGAGGAGAGCAAAATAGCATGAGCTTAAGCCGTAAGCCCCTGCTGCAAACAGCCAGGGCGGCGCCGCGACCCAATTCGGACAGATGGCAGCCGGCCGCGCAAAAAAAAGGCGTTTCTCGGACGACCCCCTGAAAACCAGAGACGAAGCGATAACCTCATTTTCCTGTTTCCTCCACGGGTAGTAAGTAACAACCAAATCATAGAATTCAGCTGGCGAGCCTTTTCTGAAGGGATCTGAAGGGAACTTGATGTCACAACTTAAAGGTACAGAAAGACGTGGCTTGGCATCGTAGCTATGGGCCACGCTCATCAGTCACTGGAATTGGTGGGTCTTCCATCGCATTTTGAATGTGGTCAAAGTGTATCCTACCATGATTTGGCGGAACTCCAACGCGTGAAAGACCCGATCTTTGCATCAGCCCGCAGGGCGTTCGCAAGTCTGTCTTAGACACCGCAGCTTGGAAAGCAGATTTCTGGGAGCAACCTGGAAACTTTGCCTCCCAAGCAGGGAAAAAAAACAACAACTCATGACTTTCAATATGTACTGCATGTAATTTAAACTTGTACTAATAAACCATTACTGTAATCATACTGTTTGCTGGGCAGTGGTGGTGTGGTTGCATTATTGAATATCACAAAGAGAGCCCGGATATCACTCCTCGGCCATCCTCGGAGGGTTTGGATCTACAGCAGCCGCTTTTCTCCTGACAGGGTTGGCTTTTCTTGGCAAGCAAAGCGCAACCGGACCGATTTTCTCCTGCTGGATGTGTGTGTGTTTTTGGTGTTTTTTGGAGGATATTTTGTTGACAAGAATGCGATATATATGGCAAGTCATCTCCAAGTCATTAGTTTCCGACCACCTCCCATCACCTGACCTCGATCTCTCCTGGAATTTCCCATACACTCCATGTATGGAATATATGTCTACATTGACCCCCCAAACCACCCCAATGTAGGCATATATGGCATACATGGAGCGTCTGGGTATAGTTTCATCCATGGACCCAAAAACCGTTCAAGTGACTAGACTATAGTCTTGTTCATTCTCCAAATGAAGCACCAACGACCGTCGATGATGGCAAGTGCCCAAGTGCCTTTCCTTGCCATATGATGGCAACACCCTCGGTGGCGAAGAACGCGATCACCTCCACTTCATCACACCTCAGCGAAGCGTGCCGAAGCATGCCGTTCTGCCGTGCCCAGCTCCTGCTGCTGAGCAACGAGTGGCGGGAGGAGCTCACCATGCTCGGCCCCGAGCTGGGCGATGGCATCAGCGCCGCCATCGAGGTCGGGAGTGAAGGAAGGTTTGGGAGGAGGAGGAGCAGGAGCAGGAGGAGGAGGTCCAATTTGGGTGATGAGTTGAGACGAGTTATGTAAGCTCCATAGATGGGGAGTTAAGTAAGTAGGCTGAAAGGTGCTGCAAGAACCAAGCTTAAGTGGTTGTTGATGGGGGGAGAGATGACCCCTCCAGGGTCACGAGGAGTTTGGTGTACCGGGATTGCAGCGAGTCACATGCTTTTTGTGGGAATCTTCTTGAATCTTCACTGCATATGCACATGAAGAAGGCCAACACACTGTTTAGAGCCTGGCATTTGTCAATTGATGCCCTCACTTTAGCATCATTTCACCTGCAGCACCAGCGAGCGCGCACATACGTGCGCGCGCGCACGTATATGATCGTATACGTACACAGATCGAGTCGCGCGGCTCGACGGCAGGAGGAAAGGGACCCCCGGAATTTGCTCATCAGCTTCACCTTAGTGAAGAAGGCACTGGACGGATGTCTTCATGCCGATGCTGCTTCGTTGCTGGTGCTTTTCAGCATGTGGCCAAACATATCGACAGGTGTTGGGAGACTTTCCGGCGGCCTGTGCCTCCCGAGAGACGGTGCAGTCCCTCTTTGAGACGCTCTCCTCCTACTTCCCCATCACGCTGCCTGGTGTCAACCAGCTCGGCCGAATGGCCGAATGGCCGACGCCACGGAGACGAAGTGCGGCACCATGCGACCTTTGCGATCCGAAGATCTCATGACATCCCATGACCCATCTCCCTCAGTGGCTGAGTCGAAGAGCTCCCAGAGTCGAAGAGGACACACGAGCGCGGCACGAGTGAGCGGTACGAGCGAGCGAGTGGCATGAGTGACAAGCATCCCAGAGTGGAGATGGTTTGAAAAAGGGGTGTTCCTTCTGGATGTGGAACTTCCTAACTTCCTGTGTTTGAAACATCTTAAGAACGACCTCCAAAGATCCAAGACGACCGAAGAGAAGAGGTCCCGTCATGAGTGGCGTCGAAGGTGAAGGACACCCTCGAAGCATTGTGAGAAATCTTTGCGGCCCATTCTCTTCGTTCACTTCTACTCATGTTGGGTATCACATTAGTCACCTTGGAGATGAGAAGTTGCTGCAGGGAGCTGCTTAGATCGCGTGCGCACTTGCGCTTTGTGTAACATGTATGGGCAAGGAGACGCCAGGGCCAAGCAAGACTTAAGACTTAAACAGCCCGGATAGTTTCAAGGGGGGTTTGCATTTCTAGGAGTTTGAGTCCCATTCGATCTTTTCAGACAGTCCAATGATATGCAGCTTCATAAGTATAGAATATGTTCATGCCAGGCTGAGCCCATCAGCGGTTGCGCTCACCTCCGAGGTTCCAACCACCCAAAGGGGACAAGGTGGGAATCACTGGTGATGACTTGAGACAGGCCTTGTCGCAGGCGAGCGAACGAGTCCTGCAATGCGTTGCGCTAGCTAAACTTAAGCTTAAGCTTTGTGTGCGGAGGTGTTGGTGTGGGTACGGATATACTTTGGTTGGCCATGCATGCAGTCATCCTCGGAATGGGCAAGATGTCCAGGGCATTACAGGTTCCTATTGGCTGTTTCCAGTCCTTCTTGTGACTTGAGAGCGGCTGGGTGACCATGGTTCTGAATCGCAGGGGTTCAAAAGGACTGAAGGTGGAGACTGTTTCATGTCAATCAGTGGAGACATGCAAAGCTCTGAAAAATCTAGGTTAGGCGCCGCCCACCTAAGGGGCTGTGCATGTGTCGAGTGTCGAGGGGCCTGAGGATTGGCATCCAGTGAGGGCTGTTTCAAGCTTCGTCATCCCGCACCCTCTCCTGCTAGAGATGTGCCACAGGCTGCCAGACAAACCCCCCTTTGGTTGAAAGTCGTCCTGAGATGTCATAGCTGTGATTCCCTGCCGACCCCGCCTGCCCGTCTGCCAGACTCCTCACGCAGGCGTTTTGCTCCTCCCAGCGGCTGGCAGAATTAGCACCTCGGATGGGCCCCTGGAAGTTCCTTAATGGGACACGACCCCATAAAAACGGGCACTTGTACCATTTTGTACCCATTTTCCGAGGTACTTTGAGCGAACCACTTCTTAATTAATGTGCCCAAACTTCCCAGGACTCAGAGCTGTGGATTCTTGAGGGTCGGGTAGGGGTCGTAGGAACACGACGCCCCGCGTAATCGCACCCGGACACTTTCTCAAAGGACTTTCAATTTCGCTCGCGTCAATGCCAGGGCCCTGGGAATTCACTGGCTTTTTGCTTGAACACCTTGAACTGCCGGACTCCAAACCCGATTCCGATGACACTTCATCGTCCATGTGAGGGTTTTCAACTAATTACACCAATATTGTTTCTTGCTTTTGGCTTTGGCTTTCCGGGAGGGGCATAGCTTTGCAATGCGGGCTCAGGAGTCAAGGTAAGAACAACAACGAGAGTCAACACTGGAGCAGACTGCCTTGAGAGTAGACCTTCTGTTAGACTCTAGCAAGCCCGAAAAGAGGGCACGTAGTGCAGATGATGCTTTCATGGGTCATCCAAAGCATGAACAAGCTTGTCAGCATGTGACCCAGGTGATTCCGTTCCTCCTTGATGCCAGCAGCTTGGCTGCTTCTTCCGTGCGTCCGTCATGGCCCATCTCTCCGTCCGTCATGGACACTTTCCGGAGGTGTTTGTTTCTCAGAATGACCGAAGACGTGCTCAGAAGAGAGCTTGACATTTCTTGTTGGGACTGGAAGACGGAGAGTTGATAGGTGCAACAAACCAGCGCCACAGATCAATTGAGTGAAATCCGGCCATGTGGTCAAATGCCCGTGGTGGCACACAAAATACATTTGGTGGACCTGAGCTTCATTAAGCTGCCTGCCTAGGGCTCACCCAATTTCACTGTGCCAGATCGCCTGGAAGTCGACTCCCGTCGAGCGAGGTAAAGACATCGAGGCCGATGTGGACGCGACGGTGGCACAAGCGATGCAGACCTTGTGCTTTTGTCTTCAGCTCCTTGGTCGGACCGAGGGCAGGTGGCCCGAGTAAAGCACAGTAGCCATTGTTGATGCATTTGTTGATCGAGGTGCCTGTTTGGTGTTAAGAAACGTTAAGAATCTCTATAGCGTCTATAGATCTTGGTGGAACCTGTTCTCAAACCTGCTGGGGTGCTTGGGATTGTTGCAGTCTGATTCCGCTGAGCCGCCGGCGCAGCAAGGAACTTTGGCGCTACTGCGGCGCAGAAGCATTTGAAGCACATCCTAGAGACTTGGCAGTGCTCTTCTCATGCTGACTGATTACATCGATAGATATATTATACATTATTATACATATAATCCCTTCCACCTATTAATAACAGAAGGGCGGGTCATGGGGGGTGGGTTTTTGGGTTTTTGCTTTTAGGAATTTTTAGAAGTTTGAAGGAAACTCCAGAATAAACGGGCCCCCCCCTCCCCCCTAATAAGGAAACCTCGGTCGCATTTTTTCTAAATAGGGGGTCCCTGAAATCGGGGGACCTGGGAAGAGCTTCAAAACCAAAAAGTCATCCAGAAAAAAAGTATAAAATCCTTTATTAAGCTCGTATCGAAAATTCAAAAAACCTCCAGGTCGAAGGGGTCTTCCTTTTCTTCATTAGAATCATTAGACTAACAACCAAAGCTGAGTCCGATTGCGTGAGTCCGTGCCATTGGAGGAAGGAAGACCTGCTGGTGTAAGCGCGGCGTGTCATGGTGGACAGGTGTGGTCAGTTACGGTTGTTTTTGGAACCTAATAAAAGAAACTACCCCCAAAATCGACCATGTTGGTAGTTTAGTAGCGGTTTGAAAGGGCGGCAATTTAAAAACA